TTCTTAATATCAAAATAAATTGTATTAAATAATTTACTGATATATGAATTTATATTATTAAAAATAATAAATATATATAATTATAATAAATTATAAAAATAATAAAATAAAAATGTATAATCATTAAATTAAAAAATTACCATAAAGTAAAACTTTGAATTAGACCTAGATGAACATATATCTTTTTTTTTTATCTTTTAGAGATATTTTGATTTTTTTAATTTATTCATAATCGAAATAATTTGTGGGTTTTTTATATTTTTATTTTCACTAAAACATGATAGGTCTATGCAATATTTTTTTTTGATATTTGAGCTCCTAAATAGATGAATATTTGGTCAAAAAATTAAGTTTTGATATTCGATATACTATTCTTGGGACTAAACCAAAAATAATGTATATCACATATAAGGCCCAGTCCAAATGCTCTAAAGTATTCAGAAAAAATATTGTATTAGACCCAAATGGACATTTATCCTTTTTTTTAATTTAGAGAAATTTTTTGAAATTTTTTTATTTATTCACAATCTGAATCATATGTATTTTTTTTATTTTTCTCAAAGTTTTTTTATTTCTAACAAAATATGTTGGATCCAAGTAATGTTTTATAACATTTAATCTTCTACATACATAGATGGACAACCTAATGATAAAAATCTAGTCCAAAAATATTAAGCCTTGATATCTGATACATTATTTTTGGGCCAAACAAAAAAAATATATTGTATAAAAGGACTGATTCAAATGCTTTCAAATTTTCATGAAAGCTTTGAATTTAACCTAGATAGGCATATATCACTCCTTTTCTATTTTGGAGATTTTTTAATATTTTTGATTTATTTAGAATCTAAATGGTTTATAATCGTCCCATTTTTTTATTTTTATTTTTTTAACAAAATATGATGGATCTGTACAATATTTTTTTATATTGAAATGTATAAATAGACAAACAACCAGTGGTAAATATTTAGTTCAAAAATAAAATTTATATTTTCAACAAAATATGATGGATCTATATAATATTTTATAATATTTGAGCTTCTAAAGAGACAAATAACCTGTCGTAAAATTTGATCCAAAAATATTTAGCCTTGATATCTAATATACAATTTTTGAGATCAAACCAAAAATACTAATATGAACAGTTTATGGTTTTCCTATTTTCTTCATTTTTCTATTTTTCATCAAAATATGTTGGATATATATAATATTTTTTGACATTTAAGCTTCTAAATAGATAAACAACATATGATAAAAATTTGGTCCAAAATTATTAAATTTTGATATCCGAATCAAATCAGGCATACAAGATACAAAGACTAATTCAAATACTATGAGATTTTTATAAAAGCTTCACATTGGACTTAGATGGACATCTATCATTTTTTGTTAATTTAATTTTTTAATAAATATTTTGGATTTATTAAGAATTTCAATAGTTTGTGATTTTTCTTTTTAAAGTTTTTTTCTATTTCAATCAAAATATATTAGATCCATATATTGTTTTTTAATATTTAAACTTCTAAATACGTGAACAACCTACAATAAAAATTTATCCCAAAAAATTAAGCTTTGATATCTGATACACTATTTTTGTCTTAAACAAAAAAACATAATGTATCGCATGTAAGGACTAGTCCAAAATTTTTAAAAAGTATTGCATTAAATCTAGATGGACATTTATCATATTTTTTTTTATAATTTAGAGTTTCTAATATTCTTTGATTTATTCAGAATTTAAATAGTTTATAATTTTTCTATTTTATTAAAATTTATTTATTTCCATCGAAATATAGTAGATCCATATAATATTTTTTTATATTTAGTTTCTAAATAGAAGGACAACCTAGGGTAAAAATTTGATCCAAAAATATATTTTTTTTGGTCAAATCAAAAATAATATATCTCAAACAATAACTAGTCCAAATGCTTTCAAATTTTTAGGAAAGCATCCTATTGCACCTAAATAGAACTTATCATATTTTTTCTAATTTACAAAATTTTTTGATAATTTTCTAATTTATTCAGAATCTAAAAAATCTTTATTTTTTTCTTTAAGTTTTTTATTCCAACTTAAATATGTTGGATCCATGCAATATTTTTTTACATTTGCAATTGTAAATAGATAGATAACATATGATAAAAATTTAGTCAAAAAAATTAAGCTCTAATATCCAATATACTTTTTTATTGGGATCAAATAAAAAATAGTGTTAGTGAACAAATGTGCCATGGCTGGTGAGTCAGCATGGCCTGGTCCACAGGTCGATGTCGGGAGTCTTCTGTCGACTGAGCTGGATGCCGATGTCGACCGGGTCCTCGCGACGGGGTGCTAATCAGCGTTCCTTGGTGTGCCGATCCGGGCACCGTGTATGCCGAGCTACGTCTCTTCTTCTCCGGGGTGATTGACAGCTCGTTTTCGTTAGGTGGCTGCGCCCTCTAGAACGGGTGCTGGTTGGCATTGGTCGAGATCCGGGGCCGACTCATTGCTCTCTTTCGTCGACTCACGACTCAATCTAGTGATCAATTGATTTTTTGCCTCCTTTGGCCAGATGCTGGCCAAAGATCTTTATATTACTGTACGTGGGTCGGTCGTACACGGCTTGGCATGGTGGACGTGCCGAGTAGTGCCTTAGTACGGATTCTGACTTAGCGTGTCTTGGGGGCGACACCGTCTCGGGGTTCCCGAGGCGTGACATGTCGAACAGTGCCTTAGTACCGATTCTGACTTGGCATGTCTTAGGGGTCAAAATATGTCGTATCACTTCTCCCCCCCCTCCAAGGCATGCCGTGGGGTCCTTAAAGGGCCAGGCGATATGCTTGGGTCGGAGTGAGGCTGATCGCTCACGAGGGGAAGTTGGATTAACTCGTCGCGGGGCGATTTAGAGGGGCGACGCCCTGTGCTTCGGGCAGGATTGACTTTGCTGATCGGGAGGCAAGGGCCTAACGAGGTGAAAACGACGTGTCAAAATTGACGAGGCAAAAACGACATGTCGAAACCGACGTGGCGAAACCGACATGCCGTAGGTCAGATAACGGGTTTGGCACGGCTCGGAGTTACAGCTGCCGAGTTTGCAAGTCAACGAGCGAGCCGGGGCGGCTCGGTTAGAGACTTGACGGGCTGCGAGTCGGGGGTCAACGTGGAGCGACTTGGATAACGGACTAGGCCGGCAATTCGGGCATTAGATTGGCCGCGAGGTGTGGCTCGGACATTGGATGGCCGAGATGCGACTCGAGTATTATATTTGACCGAGATGTGACTTGGTTTGAAGGTTGGGCCTGTAGGCCGAGTGACTGAGTCCGAGCTTAGGTTTTGGTGCCGGCGAGTCGCAA